ACCCAAAGCCTTAGGAGCCTAGTGCTTGCAGCAGTGTGCACTGGAGTGGGACATGGAGTTAATAGAGATTATGTTGGAGCTTTAAGTTTTAATGCCTGTCCTACCAGGTCTCAGACTTGTGTCAGGCCTATAGCCCCTTTCTTTTAGCCAATTTCTCCCTTTTGCAATGAGAATGTTTACCTAATATCCGTATCCACATTGTATCTTGGAAGTAAATTGCTTGTTTTGACTCTACAGCCTTATAGGTGAAAGGAGATGAGTCCAGATGAGATTTTTGACTTGGTACTTGAGACTTGGGACTTTTGAGTTAATGCTGCAATTGGTTAAGACTTTGAGGAACTATTGGAAGAACAGGATTTCATTTTGAAATGTGAGAAAGAGATGAGATTTAGGAGGTCAATGGTGAAATAATATAGTTTGGATGTTTGTCCTCTCTAAATCTCATGCTAAAAACAGATTCCCAATGTTGCAGATGGGGCCACTCCCTTATGATTTGTTTAGCACCATGCCCTTGGTTATAAGTGAGTTCTTGCTCAGTTTGTTCATGGGAGATCTGGTTGTTTAAATGTCTAGGACTTCCCCCAACCCTTCTCTCTTGCTTCTGCTCTCTGCATGTGATGCCCTTGCTCTTTCTTCACCTTCCACTATAATTGTAAGCTTCCTGAGGCTCTCATAAGCAGTTGCCAGCATCCTGCTTTCTGTACACCCTGCAGAACTGTGAGCCAGTTAAATCCCTGATCTTTATAAATTAGCCTACCTCAAGTATTTTTTGTAGCAATGCAAAAGTGGCCTAATACAAATTTTAAAAAGAGCACATAGAAGGAGATGATAACTCTGTTGGAGAGAAAAGCAAGGAAAAGACTGTCTGGAAAAAGTGATATGGGGTTATAATTTTAAAAGATTAGTTGGAGTTAGCCTATAGAATAAAAGAGAATAGAAAAGAGGATGGGGAGGGGTATTGCCAAACAGAAAATTAGCAGATACCAAAGCCATGGAACCATGAGACACAATGGAATATAAGAAACTATCATCAAGCATTTGATAACTGGAATATAAAGGGGACTAGAAATTTCAGATAGGTGAGTCCTTTTGAGAATCAGTAGATGAAGGATAATCGTAGGCCATTTTGCATGGTAAATCTCTAAAGAATTTTTAAATGGACTAAGTCTTAAAATGTTTGGAAAGTCTGTGATATCTCTTCCCTCAACAACGGTGTCTATTCATACCAAAAAGCTTGATGATTCAACCTTCACAAAGCATTTTGTAAATCACTTGTGTTTCCATTTGTCCTTTCAGCAGTCTAGTTCAGCATCTGCATTTATTCTTATGTGAACTGTTGGGATGACCTCCTTGTTCAATGCCAGATGTATTTTCCTAAAGCTTTGCACATCATATCCATGATAACTTCATTCAGATCATGCATTACATTTTACCCAGTAATTTTATGTTTTAATTTTATATGAATTTTCAGAGGTTTCTTATACACTATGAGGTTATTAACTGTACTTTACAAAATGAAATAAAAACTAGAGGACACTGACAGGCAGGTTCACCCAAGGTCACTGAACTAAGTGACAGATGCCAGGACCTCCAACCTATCTCCTCTGACTACAGATGCTTCTGATTATTTAGTTAAATTCATAATATTTTTAATATCTTCATCAAATGGGCCTGACAATTTCATAACCTTAAAATTGTTATGGCGCATTGGGTTCCAGGATTTTGTTTTAATTGCTTTTAAAAACAAGCAGTGACAATTGCTGGAAGGGAGAGAAAGAGTAAGGAGTTCCAGAAAACATTCTACAATGAGACCGCAGAAGTGTGAATGTCTTTAAAAATAGTTTTCCTAGTTTTTTATACTTATTTTTGTTTTCCTCTTAGTGTTAGGCAATATTAAATTAACTCTAGTTGGAAAATTCCTTCCTGAAGTATCTTTCAAATGAGCTTGAGCAAAGAATAACCATTTGGCTATTCAGAGAGAGCTGAAATGTGATTTCTCTAAACACAGGCTACTCAGGAGGAAACACTTCCAGTTAAATGAACAGGTGAAGCCTAAATCTTAAATAGATTAGGAAAAATTGTGGTCTACTCAACTACTTCTGCTCAAAATGTATTCAGACATAAAGAGATTCTGTTTTTTAGCAGCACAGATGGGACATTTACCTCTCCATGGTATTAATTTTTTTAAGAATTCAATAGTGATAAGAAACACTTTAACCAAGCTACACCTTTTAATTCTTTTGGTGGTTAAACTTGAAGCTAACATGATACTCAATCTTTTAAATAGTATATATATTTAAAACCCACACTTTTAGGCAAAATTTTTAAGAATGTCAGCTTTATAGAAACCATGACTTCATCTCAATTTGGGAATTCATGAGAGTTTAATAAAAATTAATTGAATGGTCATGGAAAGGCTGAAGCTAGACAACATAGAAAATGTTACTTCCCCATAGACCATCATAGGTTTATTTGCTATATTGTGTTCCTAGCAAATACCTTTTTAAAAATCACTGAGAGGAGTCCTTGGCTATGAGCCCTGTGGTTCTCATTAGAATGGATCTCTCCCAATGACACACCTGGTACCTGATATCTGCAGCAAGTACAAAGGCCAAACCCTGCAAACCTACACTGAGTGCAGAATCTGGTCCATGCATGGTAGCGAGCAATAATGAGGTGGGCTGCCGAACCATCATTGCAGGTCATTGAGGGTTATCTATGAAGCCTCTATAGCTTCCAGCAGGAAGCTTGTCATTGCTCATACTTAGGTCATCATGATTTATCAACTTGAGGATCATCAAATTCCCAAAGCCAATGATTTTACATACCCCGCCTTTTTATGAAAGGTACTGTCATTTACTTTGTCTTAATAACCCTTTACGTTTTGATGGAGCCGGTTAATCTGATATGGCAGCATGTGAATTTTTCAGCATCTGAAGAGTGTGTTAATTAAATACTCCTAACAGCCTGGAAAATATTGATGTAGCCATCACTCTCTTCTCAACTAGAGAGAGGGCTGTAGGAGGAGGGTCCATGTCTTGGTTACATTCTTCTCCAACCTAGAATACTGCCTTGATAGGAAATAAAAGCTGATGGAGAAGAGGCAAAGATACAGAAGTCATGGAATTACATACCTTTTAGCCTTTCACTTGAAAAAACAATAATGAATACTTACTGGGCTCAGATGCTGGGAATACAGAGATATACCAACCACAATTCCTCTAGAACTTTGCTTTCTATCAAACCTGCATCATGATTTTACATCTGGATGGGAAAAGAACTGTTCCAAATGAAGTATCAGATATATAGGGCCACCTCAACAACTGACCATTCCACTTTAATGCTGTATATATTTAATACCGAACGAGTATGCATCTGGCCCTAGTTTTGATATCAACATAAATCTAAAGATTAGCCTAAACAATTTTATTCTCAGACAGTTGAAAGAATTTTGAGAGTATACTCTGCATTTTACTAGGTTTTTTACATATGATATCATGTTATTTTCCTCAATTTGCACATAGCTTCATCTCCTCTATCAGCTACTTATTCCTTTAGGTAAGGAGCATGTTCATCTTTTACCTTTGCTCCTAATACAATGACAGGCATATAAAAGTATTTAATAGAGATTTGTTGACGTATAACAACAATAAATGTATTTTTTTAAGTGGTCTTGCCGGGCCTGGTGGCTCACACCTGTAATCCCAGTACTTTGGGAGGCCAAATAGGGTGGATCACCTGAGGTCAGGAGTTCAAGACTAGCCTGACCAATATGGAGAAACCCTGTCTTTCTACTAAAAATACAAAATTAGCTGGGCATGGTGGTGCATGCCTGTAATCCCAGCTACTAGGGAGGTTGAGGCAGGAGAATCACTTGAACCTGGGAGGTAGAGGTTGTGGTGAGCCAAAACTATACCATTGCACTCCAGCCTGGGCAACAAGAGTGAAACTCTATCTCAAAAAAAAAAAAAAAAGATCTTGATATATAAGAAAAGATTGTCCATACTTTGAGAGTTTATGGTTTAAATCAAAGAAAATTCAAATGAAGTAAATGGCATCTAAGAAGTGAATTTAAAATACTTTTTACACATTCTGGGAACAAATGCAAGAGCATTGTGCTTTGCGAGAGAAAATAGGAACTGTGGGCTTCCCTTCATAATACTTCATCTTCCAGTATGCAAGCCTGGGCTTTTTCACACAGCAATTGTATGGTCCTAAGAGCAGCAAAAGAATCAGCCTCAATACGCAAACACTTTTGAAACTGCTGCAATCATCATATTTGCTATTGTCCCATTAGCCAAAAAAAGTCCTATAGCTAAGCTCAGAGTGAGTCTGGGAACAAAAGGCGTAGATACAGGGAGGTGAACACACTGGGACCCCAGCTGCAATCCATTTACCATAGAAGGTAGGATTCCCAATAATATCAGCCTCTAATAATTCTATATCCTGTGGTCCCAGTTGTGCAAAAAATAAAACCCCAATATAACTGCATGCATATATGCGTGCACACACACACACACACACACACAAACTAGAAAATATATCAGAATGCATTAATAGTGCTTAATATGTGCTTCTATATTTTTAAAGTGTTTAAATATGTTTGCTTTCTTGTATTGCATGTGTATTTTGTTATTCAGCAAAAACATCTGGAAGGCAATAAAATGTGGTTATGGATGAGGTTTCACCTTTTGTGCTTTTTACATTTCTTCTGTATTTTCCATGTTTTCTGTAAAGCATGTGCACTCTTTTATAATCAGTCAAATTCGTGTGTGTGTGTGTGTGTGTGTGTGTGTGTGTGTGAACTACACTTAAAAAATAATATTGAGTTAGGCCGCTGGTGTACTTCTCTGTCTGGTCTTTCTTTTATTATGACACCAGAAGGAAACAGTTGAAAAGTTGAGTTGATAACAAAGTCTAAAAAACAATTTTTACTCCATCTACAAACTGTGTTTTGAAGTGTGCAGCTGTCACTGATTGCCTGCTTGGTTTCCTTTCAGACGCCTTGCTGGCATTGAAGAGGAGTCTCTTTTATTTGCCTGGTCAGAAGGAGCCCTTGAATTTACGGATGAAGGAGGCACCCTGAGACCTTTCACGCTCTATGAATATCGGGTCAGTGCCCGTAACTCCAGGGGTTTGGTGGAGAGTCCGTGGTCATCAACACGAACTCTGGAAGCCCCACCTCAAGATTTTCCAGCTCCTTGGGCTCAAGCCACCAGTGCTCATTCAGTTCTGTTGAACTGGACAAAGCCAGAATCTCCCAATGGCATTATCTCCCATTACCGTGTACTCTACCAGGAAAGACCCGACAATCCAGCATTTCACAGCCCTACCGTGCATGCTTTCACAGTGACGGTAAGACCCTTGAAAAAATTACACACACTCAGATTGTCTGATTAATATGTTGAAATTAATTTCCTTATCCAACTTCTCATTTTTTTTCACTTAGGGCTTAAATACATGAAAATCTTTCACATGTGAAAAGTTGCAATGCAGTCACGGGGGATAAGATACTGAACTGAGTATGAGGAGTATTGGGGACCAGTTCGTAGGCACGACTCATTTTGATTACCTCAAAACAAACAAATTTTATTTATTCATAAAATTGATTTCCATTTTCCATATTTAGTAAATGGGAATAATTTTTTTTGAGACAGGGTCTCATTCTGTCACCCAGGCTGGAGTACAGTGGCGTGATCTCAGGTCACCACAGCCTCTGTCTCCTGGGTTCAAGCAATTCCACTGCTTCAGCCTCCCAAGCAGCTGGGATTACAGGTGCCCACCACTGCCCAACTAATTTTTGTGTTTTTAGTAGAGACAGGATTTCACTATGTTGGCCAGGCTAGTCTCAAACTCTTGACCTCAAGTGATCCGACTGCCTCAGCCTCCCAAAGTGCTGGGATTAGAGGCATGAGCCACCACACCTGGCCTAAATGGGAATAATTTAATGTTTCTTGATTTGCATTTTCCATATCTACTAAATGGGAATAATGTAATGCTATTCTCCATACCTCATAGAGATGAGATTCAGATGAAAATAGATAGAATATTTAATTTTCTACTTCCTCAACAAGCTAGTAACATATAGCTATATATATGTATGTGTATATATGTGTGTGTATGTGTGTGATATATATTTTTATATTTATTTATTTATATTTATATTTTATATTTATTTATATTTTTATATTTATATAAATATATCACACAAAGTTGCATGCACTATAGCTTACTGGTGACTTTTTTTTAAGGATTGGCCGCCTCTGGCCCATAAAACAACTTAAGGGGAAAAAAAAGAGAAGCGGTTGAGTACAGCCTGTAATGTCCACTACACTGGAACTCAGATCCCAAACTCCACTGTCTACTAGCTTTAAACCACAATGCAAGAGAGAATAATATCACATAGCAAGTGTTAGGCAAGAAACGCTCTAGGAGATCAGCTCTCAAACTGAAGATGCTTCATGGATAAGAGTCAGTTTTGTGGTCTTAGGAGTTAAATACAAATATGTGCCAAGACCTTATTAAATATGGAAAACCCTCAATAAGAACAAATGAACAGACAAAGCGTTATTTTTAAAAAAGTATGTTTCTATGCTTTAAATCCTGGAAGGCCAATTTACATGAAGGTATCTTATAGGGAATAACATTTATCAAAATATTTAAATAACGGTGAGCAAATATATTTTCATAAAACTTCAGAAGAGCCTTTCTTAAATTAATAGTTTAAAGTACAATGTTTTCCCACTGTCCTTGTGTTTAAATTTCTCATATGACTAAAAAATAAGCAATATATAAATGAAAGGATAATTGTCTTCATTTTTATCTGTTTCAGAATTAGTACTACATTTTATTAGACAGTAAATTATCTTTATATACTAGAGTCTTTCCTATTACATCTTCTAGTTCCTATATGATAAGCACTAGAAGCACTGTTCTTAAGTGTAAAAGATCTTTTTGAGTGGATATGTGATCCAGGAGGAAATTGGTTACTTCTCCCCATGTCCTTCAAACTCATGTTCTAAACTTTCACCCTTAAAGTCAAATGTTTATGAATATCCTACCCTTGTTAATAGCTTCTGAATGAGGCACCTTAATTTAAATAAGCTTTTATTGAAGGTACAAAGATTGCAATGGTTAAACCTCTGATCTTTTAAAATACAACTTTCAGAGGTATGAGCCTAATCGTTTAGTCCCCCAAAACAGTTCTATTGGAATTCCCTTGTGGAATACCCTATAAGTCATGCCCTCATACCCAGCTTCATTTTAAAACACAAGCTTTAAAGTATATGATGAATCTATGAACTCTATTCTTTATTTAATCTTCTAGGCTCTGTTTTTATCATACTAAAACACTCCTGAAAAAGAGGCAAGCCTATGGCCCCAAGCTTTAAGCTGCACAGAGCTCTTTGCACATAGGCCCTCCCTGACGTGGCTTTCATTTTGACAGTTCAGTACTGGTGTACTCCTCTATTTTTCCAAAGATTTTTTTTTCTTGCAATGCTGAATAGAATAGCCAGAATAATTTTTTTATACAAACAATACTTCTGCATCCTATTTTTGAATGTGTATGCATATATTTAAAGTGGCCTCCCAAAATCTAAATCTTTGGCTCTAAGAATTCCAAGAGAAGGCTTCATTAGATTCAACAAGAAAGGTCCCATCTGATCTTTTCAAGCAAACAAGGACATCTTCCACAAAGCAATCTGGGCAAGTGTTCAGACCTTCAGGCCACTGGACCATGTTTTCAGGGCATCAGGGCTGCTATGACTCTTTATGATCTGACACCTTTGAGAGAGATCACCAGGAAAATAAACTAGTGTTTTTGTGTTTCACTTATTCCCACAGCCCCTGTGTAGGAGATTGTGCTCAATATTTTTGTTTAAAAGATATGTAGGCCAGGTGCGGTGGCTCACACCTATAACCCCAGCACTTTGGGAGGCTGAGGCAGGCAGATCACAAGGTCAGGAATTTGAGACCAGCCTGGCCAATATGTTGAAACCCTGTATCTACTAAAAATACTATTTTTAGTATTTTTGCTCTTTGGGAGGCTGAGGCAGGAGAATTGCATGAACCCAGGAGGCTGAGGTTGCAATGAGCCAAGATGGTGCCACTGCACTCCAGCCTGGGCAACAGAGCATGACTCCATCCTGAAAAAAATAAAAGAGATTCTATCAGTTATCCAATGTTCTGTACTCCTCACCATCACAGAAAAAAATGTATCTCTTAACTCAGACAAATCATTCCTCCTATAATCTAACTCTTTTTTTGTTCAGAGCAGCATGACATCTATATACTAGCACAATGGGCCTTCAGGGTCGAACAAATTATTGACAATTCAATCTGATTTGGCAAACAGTCATTGAGTACTATATTCAATATGTCAGTATGCAATACCAAACTTAACTATGTGTTGAACTCTGCTATGAGACTTGGCCCTTGAGCAGAGCAGAGACTGTGAGGAAAAATAAGTGATCAGTTCTGAGGTGCAGGCTATTACTGTTGGGCATTTTGGATTTCTAAGCTTCTTGCTGCTGAGTTTCTGCTACCCATGTTTAGAAAACTCCATTTTATTTTTATATAAATTTAATGGGTGCAAGTGAAGTTTTGTTACATGGATATATTGTGTAGCAAAGTTTTGTTACCTGGATATATGGTGTAGTGAAGTCTGGACTTTTAGTTAACCATCGCACAAATAACATACATGGTACCCGTCAAGTAATTTCTCATCCCTCACCCCACTCCCTCCCTCCCACGCTTCCGAGTCTCCAATGTCTATTATTCCACACCCTATGTCCACGTGTATACATTATGTAGTCCCACTTATAAGTGAGAACATATGGTATTTGACTTTCTGTGTGAGTTATTTCACTGAGGATAATGGCCTCTAGTTCGATACATGTTGCTGCAAAAGACATGATTTCATTCTTTTTTATGGCTGAGTAGTAGTCTACGGTATATATACATATATATGTATATATATATCTCACATTATATATATATAATGTCTCTAAAGAGAGATTCTTGGGTTCTCTTTAGACCAATACCTTCCATTATTGAAAACAGGCTTTAGTTAGAATGTGAGATGTATGTATATCTTGCATTCTATATATATTCATATATATATTACATTCCACAGTATATCAAATTATTCCCATTTAGTAGATATGGAAAATGGAAATGGAAATCAAGATATATATGTGTGTGTGTGTGTGTGTGTGTGTGTGTATGTGTGTGTGTGTGTGTGGGTATGTGTGTGTGTGTATATATATATATATATATAAAATGTTCTCTTTATCCAGTCATCCACTGATGAACACTTAGGTTGAAATTCAATATCTTTGCTATTGTGAATAGTGCTGTCATAAACATACGAGTGGAGGTATCTTTTTCAATATAATGACTTACTTTCCTTTGGGTAGATGCCCAGTAGTGAGATTGCTGGAACGAATGGTAATTCTACTTTTAGTTCTTTGAGAAATCTCTATATTGTTGTTCATTGGGGTTGTAGAAGACGACTCCATTTTAAATTGCTTTCCAAGTACCTTCCCAGATCTACTTACTGTTTATCTAATTTCTGCACCCGCTAAACAACTTTACTGGCTTCTTTCCTTTCTGTGCCTGCGGTATGAAATTTTTCAAGATTTTGTTTATTGGCCACTCTGGCTAAAATTCTTCAGGGCAAAGGAACTACAGTGCCTTCTCCATTAATGAGGCACAGAGTCCATTCCCACCATTGCAGGAGTGCAGTTCAATCCACAGCTTCGCAAGAGGTAATGCTAATGCAATTAGCATTAGCTCATGCATTAGTCCCTTGTTTATTAAGATTTCATCTCTGCACAAGGGGCCACCAATAAATTGCCCATGTTGTGGTGCCATCCCTAGCTTGCCCCAAGGTCCCCCAAGAGTTGTTTATAAACAGGTAGATGTTGTTGAGAGAGCCACATAAAACAGGTGCAATGGAGGCATGAATTCTGCTTGTGGTGGCAGTGAATGGAGAACTGGCAGTGGGGGCCCTCCATGGGGGTGAGAAGCGTATGTGTTGGCAGGAATAGCAGCAGCGGCAGCAGCAGCAGAGGCAGCAGGAGCAGAGAAATGGAAAGAGTGTGGGTTTTAATGCATCACTAGCTGCTCTCCCAGCCTCATGAAAAGTTTCACCTCCCTACTCATCTCTATGTAGGACTTTCCTAAGGGAGAGAGAGGGAGATCAAGATTTTTGGAGTCTCCTTGTACCAATACCTTCCGTTATGGAAAACAGGCTTTAGTTAGAAGGCCTTAAACGCTCTTCCCAATTAGCTCTGTGATGAATTGTGTGGTGTCAGGAAAGAAACTGTATTTAGCCTTGCTTGGCATGCAGG